GCGTTGAATACCTCGCCATGATAATCTGGTAGTACCTCGTAGTCCTCACTGCGGGCATTACTCGGAGCAATTTCCTGTTCCTTTCTGTGTTTTTAACTAGGGGTTCGATAGACTCAGATGCTTAGTGTCCCATCGTATAGTGACACAAGACGGGGACTCGAAGATAGCTCAGTACAGTGTCTGCAACTCGTTCACTTTGGAACCGATTCGTCACGTGTTCACTGCCACTTCACTTCCCTCCTTGTGGTTCCTGTCTTTCAAACAGAGGTACACCGTCTCTATTCGATTCGACGTCGCTAACGTTCAACGATGATCAGGTTTCCGCCAGTATTATAATTTTCGGAAGAGGGCGGGGACACAGAGGTGGTAGCTGCACCGCTGTAGCTTAAATCCTCTCACATTGTTACTAATATATTCGGGGGTGCTTCTCGCTGAGTGGGGCTTTCCTTGGTGGTTGACACCAGGGGGCTGCTTGTAGTGGGGAGAGTTCTATCTGTCCGACCAGTTCCAGTGCAACTAGCTTAACCAGTTCTCATTTCAGGATGTTTTTTGTGGTTATTAATGGTTCACGTCTGCCAGTCTTATTCTCATTGGGTCTGAGTGTGACAATGGCGACCTGAGCATGAAGAGAAGCCGTCCTTTTCTGTTGTCGTAGTGCAGTTGGTTCGCTTCCACGACATCCAGCGATACTGATGAGGGCGTCTTTCGCAGATCAGTTTTGCTCTAGCTAGGATACCTGGGTAGATGAATCCGGTACCCATCAATCTAGTTGAATACACCGATATCAGGCAGGAGGTCGCTGGGACCGACACATGGCAGCTACCTTTATTCAGTCCAACCTAATGCTTGCTGCTGTTGAATAAATAAATATTTTATTCTCATATTAGGGATTTAACAAGAGAGAAGCCAGCCTAAGGGCATCATCACATTGATATATGCCGTAAAATCTACAAGATTTTGGGACTCCCGGATGGTACAGAGGGTATGTCATTAAACTCTATTGTTGAGCCGGATGGAAATATTTCTCTTCTGGTGAACCCGTCCTTGGTTCTGGCATCACGTTTCGGTCTTTGTGAGTGGGGTGCTCCTCACAGTATTTTCATCGCTGACCATGGCCGATTCGTTTCAGTCCCTATGCTGGATGACAGGGTGATGACCGGTTTGTATAAAAAAACGAACCTTTTGGTATCCTTAGTTGAGCTCAAGGCTGCCCTCGTCGGTGGAGGCTTCCTTGTGCGTGAATGTCTGCATCGTCCAGAGCTGGTATCTTTTCCTTCGCTTTCTGTCTGCTTCCGTGTGCTGCTTTGCCCTTATTCTCCTTTTCCCGAGTGAATGCAACTTTGGCCGTCACATGCATGAAGCGTTCATCAGATTTTTTATTGAAATGACCTTGAAGATCCATATTTTTGTGTGACCTGCGTAATCTTTCACAAAGAAATCAAGCCATTTTTTCTATTCTAACCCTTTTTCAAGATATTCACTTAAGGTTGCCACTGGACCGGCTTTAGTCTGCTATTTTTGGGGTTGTGTCTGTCACCTGTCTTTTTGGCAGCCTTTGGACCAGTAGCATTCGTAACTGTCCATGCAGTGTTACCGGCGGTATCAGTGACAGTGTTTGGGAACCGTCCTCGCGCAAGCTTGACAGATTCCGAGGCCATTGACCAATTATTCTTACTCGTATCATACCAACGAACGCGAGGCCAAAGAAGAACACAACGGCGTAGTCAAATGGAATAGTATATTTCAGGGATCTCGCCAAAATACCGACGCTTTCCGACTGGCTGGTTAGAGGTTTGATAATGAGCAGAACAACGCAACACAACAGCGTGCCAAATGGCAAGGGTGCTTGATCGTGAGACATCAGCCTAGCCGGCCTGATAAAACTATGAAGGTCAGCATTAATGACTAATCTCACCGAACCGTAAGCTATTTATTTTGGGGAAGCCTGCGACCGCACAAACCTCTATACTTTGAGTGGTGTATAGGATACCTGCATTCGATTGACCACGGAGGGGGATTTCTTACAGACTCACCGGGGATGTCTATAGCTAGAGGTGGTCTCACGCAACACGGTAGGCAGATGCTCCAGGACCACGTGCATGGGTGGCGCGTGATATTGGTCTGGCGTATCTCCATCGCATCATCAATGTGCCTCCTTTATTAAGGTGTCCCACTTGGAAGCTCATCGCTTTATTCACAGAGAGACTACTGCCGCTATAACCAGAAGATTTGTTCGAGTGCTTTCCTTTCGTATTTGATAGTTTCCCGCCAGCACTTCATGCAATGGAGCCAGAGTTTGTGCTACGTGTGCCTGCTGGTTCTACTTTACGTTTACCGGAGATAGAGGCTTTCTGAGTTCTCTATGGGATGGGGATCAGACTACTTTTGGATTTTTGTATCTATGACCTTTCGACCGGGTTTTGCTCAGGCGTTGGGGCAAGGTTCCTTGACTCGTTTTTGCACCTCTTGTTCTATCCCGACTGACCAATGAGACACGAGTGGTCAGTGATTGGGTTAAGACTACGCTTGAGGTGGTTTTGTGATCAGGTTTCACCCACACGCTGTGACAAAGCATACCAATACTCTGATGGGAGAAAGATCAAGTGAGGTGCAGATGAAATATGGATAAAGAAGAAAGTAAGTAATCTGTGACAGGAAAGAAATAGGTTGTTGACCTTACCCTTGATTGTTTTCCTTTTTGAGTGTGATGAATGCCGACAGCTACTCGCAGGCCTAATATGTGTGACCCGGTAAGATATATATATTGATGAAGATGCACAAACCTAAGTTATAATCGATGCTGGGGACAGTGAGGCTTATCAGACATTTGTTCCTCTATGAGAGTGATGATAGTGACCAGGTGACGAATGTGAGTTCTGTGAACCTTTTGTTGTGCAACTGTGAGTTTGGGAGGTGTTAGCTGCAATGGATTTGGCGTGAGTGGTTATTTACGGGAAGGTAGGTGAGGTAAAATAAGCTAGGATTTACAGAGTATGCGTTATCACGATTTAAACAAGTGCAACAGAAGCAATTAGATGCAGTTTATTTGGTGCAAACTGTTTGGTGATTCAGACTTTAGGCAAACCAACAAATAAGTGACATGAATATAAAATGTAATACACGCGAAAAGCTTTTTTCGTTTAGACGATGAGCAAAAATATTGATGATAGGCACAAAAAACATGAATTTGAAGCACACAAACGACATGAAGTACCATCATTCAAGCCGTGGGCATGTGGCTTGTAAATATTTATTAGTATCGATTGCAGTATAAGACACTTACGAGGTAGTATTCGTCATGGACCGACATGAGTCTGAGAACCATGAAAAACCTGAGAGTACTGGACAGCTGTTTCATCCCAGTATGGGAGGCCTCAGCAGTACGCACCCTCGACCCAGCCAGAGATTGGACTCAGAAACTTCAGGTTTCAGGATGAACGTGTTAAGCATTCAGCTACTGGGTCGTAGTTTACTGGTTTACAGTCCCTGACTTCTGTCAATTCATGACATGGCGCGACTACCACCTAGGGTCTTCAGGTAGCATCCGCTTCCCTCCCGGCTGGCTGACCCCACATGTCACCGTTTCTCATTGAATTTCATGATAGCCGGCCCAGGAGCATGTCACTTATCAGGGCTAAACAGTAATATGCTGCTGAGGTGTCACATACTGGGACAAAACGGTTTTCAGCGGTTCTCATACTGATGTCAGTCCTTGGTAAATACTACCTCAAAATTAAAAACCCCGTTCACCTCAAAATTCACAAAACGTATTCTACCCAATTTGAATAACAGACTGCACATCCGTGATTGTTAGAGTGCAGTCATATGCTATGAATACAAAACATTGACGTCCAGCTTCTAGAACAGGAAAATATCTAACTTTGGAGAGGTCAAACATTAAATCCACAAAAAATACATACATGCTTTGACAAAATGAGGTTTCAGCACAGTTAATATCTCTTATAACACGCCAATTAGGTACTATAAAGTAGTGACAAAGCGGTTACCTGGTTAGTGATGCATCACTTGGGAGGAGTCGCCAGTCAGGGACTTGTAACGCATTCGGCTCTACTCGCCTCCCTGCAGCAACGTACCTACCTACAGGCTAGACGAAGACGTATCAACCGCTTGTCGTTACAAACTATTCTGTCACTGGTAGAACGTGGTAACAAGTTAGATAACAGCAACAAGATAAAGTCAACTGTACAGATTGCATCTGGCGATAGACTTTTATCATTGAAACCGCAGAGGAAGCTTTCGCATTAGACAAATTGTCAGCATTAAAAGCATGATACTTTTGCGGCATCCTGCTCTGAAGGTTAGAATAGCAGGCAAGGGGAGAATTCAAGTCAGGAATCTTCTGGAGCAATATGCCAAAAGCGAATTTGATTAGCAGGTGAGAAATTAATTAACAGAAAGTTCCGAAAACTGTCATTGACCGTGCAAATAAGTGCATGCAGGAATGCTACGTGATGGAAATCAAACAAGTTAAATATGGATACAAAAACTACGTATCAAAAAATGCGCATTTTGCAGGATCCAATACACAAGCATTGTTTTGATAATATTATAGCCATACAAGAAACATATCAAAAGTGTAATTACTGATAGATATACCTTTAAACGTTGGTGAAGCTGAAAATCCTAGAGATGGATGACAGATTTGGTCAGAATATCATTTGATAGTTGAATAGAAGGGAATAGGATATCTGCTTTCGATGAAACGGTAGGGATATTGGATCCAAGCAGGAAAACATGCGAAAATTATTGATTTATACCCATGGCCAGCTCACCAGGCTTTAATATGATTGGTTTTAAAACAAAAGGAATTCAGTAAGCTGTAGCTCTTTTTACAGACTTACTTTCAAGCTTTATATATATATATATATATATATATATATATATCGTTTACTTGGTAAAACAAAAGGAATATATTTCTGGAAAGCATAATAACTAAATTTAGTTTTGATTAAGGAACTCGGTATACAAAAAAGGAAGTACGTAATTTGAAAATGAAAATTTGTCGAGAAGTAAAAAAAAGATTGGCTAGTTAGGTTGCATGATTTAGTACAGTTAAGTAAATGAGTGCCGTTCAGTAGTCAAGAATTGGATGAGTTAAGTAGAAGGATAAATCATAAGAGGAGAATACTTATTAGGTAGTGAGAACTCGAAAAGTCATTTTCGAAGGTAAAATCTTTACATAAGTTTATTTCGTTGTAAGTTCAGTGACTGAAAAAACTTCTTTTGTATGCAGATTTCAGATTTTGGAATATGAATCACCAGGGTTTCCGCAGTTTGATAGAGTTCCAAGCACAACTACCATCAGATTTTCAGGTACTCTGTAGACGACACTGAAGTTCATTTGTAGTCTATCTGGTGTCCAGAATGGGTCAAACGTTTTAGAATTTAATCGCAGAATGATTTGTTTTCCTTTTTGTAAAACCAAGGTGGTATATATTAGACGATGTGTTTAAAAAGATAAACTGATAAATACACACTGAAGAGGTCAACGTTGGTAGCTTGTCCTTTGCTCACATTCGAATCATTTGCTATAGACAGGAAGTAACTCCAAGTTCTCCTCAATAAAAGGGATAAGCAGTTTTGTAGGGTTCGACCCCTGCTGGTGTGGGGTCGTGGGTGCGCACTGCTGGGGAGTCCCATATTAGGACGAAACAGCTGTCCAGTGCTCCCAGGTTTCCTTTCTTCCTCCAACTCATGTCAGTCTACGATGAATAACAATTTGAAATAATTCCAAATCTCCACAACTCCCTCAAAATTTAATTGAACTGGTGCTCATTGGTGACTAGTTTCGAGAAGTATTCCCGAAGTTCCAATGACAAGTCGTGACCGGTGGAGTCAAAGCCTGATGGCCATGAGGACAAATACTCAGCGATGACATTGGGTGGCGGTTGCGCTATATATCGTGAGCTAAGAGAAGTTGGAAATATGGAGCATTGGATTGTGACCCAGTGGCTCATGGTAAGGTGCTGGCCGCGGAACCTGAAGGTCGCGGGTTCGGTCGCTGCTGGTGGGGTCGTGGGTGCGTACTGCTTAGGAGTCCCATAATAGGATGAACCAGCTGTCCAGTGCTCCCAGGTTTCCTTTGTTCCTCCAACTGATGTCAGTCTACGATGAATAACAACTTGAAATAATCTCTCAGATCATTTTCAACTTCATCTTCAACTCTACAACCGCTAAGGAATTTTATAGTGCCTCATTCAGCCATAGTCTCTAAAGGTTGCAGATTTCGTGCAGGCTGTAGTTAGTAAAGAATTTACTGATCCCTCTTTAGCAGAAATAGACCAACTAAAACTAGGACTGCGTATTCTAACGCCATCAAAGTAACAGTATTCACTTCATCACCATCATCAACAAGCAGATTTCTAGATGCTCCTAATCACTGTCTTTATAGTGACTCTACTTTTCCACCATTGATTCTGATATTTGTAGTGAAACGCCCAGGATTTAGGGTATAAAGGTCAATACACGAAAAACAAATCCCATCCAAGAGTGTCTAGAAAAGATAACTAAAACCAGTTTATAGAAATCCAAAACAAGTTGGGATTTGATGGTTTGGAAACATTTGGGCACCGGGTAAGTGATATCCATCATTTTAGTATTTGCACTTACTAATGAACGTAAAATAAATTTGTTTCAACTGACGTTTCACTATTTAGTGCTAATAGTTTTATCAAAGTTATCGTAAACTGGAATTTACAATATCCAAGTTTATTTATGATAGCGTGATAAGTGTTCTTCTGCATGAATAATTCAGAGTTGTCAAGATTGTGAGATAAAATTGATATCTATATGTGGTATATTGTGTCTGAAGAGTGTATGCATTAAATATTGAGATTTGTATGTACACATGCGTTGAAAGTTCGTATCGTATGCATGTTAGTATGTGGGGGTTGGTCGAGATAAGGTCAAACTACGTTTTACTCCCTATTAGGTGTGTTTATCTGATTATTATTATTATTATTATTATTATTATTATTATTATTATTATTATTATCATTATTATTATTTACTTGATAACGTTTCAAGCATAAATTATTGCTCATAGTCATATCAATGTAATCACACCACTTTCAACATTTGATTTTTATAGTTATGTCGCCTCACACGAGTTGTTTTTATTGGTAGTAAAATTTCCCATATCTCTAGTATAGATGTTGCATCACTTCTACTACATGTGTTGCGTGTTGATTTGATGAACAAAGATTCCGTAATCAATCTCTCTTTCCACCTAACTTTATTGGACTTAAGTACAGTGGCTTTATCCCACCCTATTGTGTGGTTGTGTGTTAATGCGTGCATTGCAATAGCCCAGTTTTTCCAGATTATTGAACTTATTTGGGTCTGTCATTCTATATTTAGCTTAATTCCTATGTTCGGCTATTCTAACTGCCCCCGATCAGCCGGGCTAGTTTGACCTATGGACTTGACCCCACAGTCATTACATGAAATTTGATAGATTAGGTTATTCTGTTGAATTGGTTCTATCGGATCATTAGACCGACAAAGCTTATCTCTGAGTGAGTTTGTGGGTTTAAATGGCATTCTAATTCCAGCTTTGTTGAGGATCCTACGTAAAGTTTCTGGTGTACCTTCCTTGTGGGGTAACACAATGGAGGCTGTGAACTCCTTTCTACTTGTGTTGTCATTATTATTGGTACTCATGTTCCCGTTATTTTTAGTTTCTTGTGTGTTCGTACAAAGTTCGTAATAAATTGCGTAGGATAATAATTAACTATTAGCGCTTCTCTTACGTGTTTCAATTCCTTGCACTGACTAGTCAGTTTTCTGGCTCTATCACTTAGATATTTGACTAAGCCTGTCTTGACTGACATTGGATGGGATGACTTGAAGTTTAGATACCTGTTGGACTGTGTCGGATTTTCTGTAGACAATAATATCCAAACCACCGTTTGTCCTTCGTTTTATCGTACAATCCAACAAAGGCAATTCTCATTGTTCATTTTCTACCTCATAAGTGAATTGGATTGCACCTACTACTCATTTTATATGTGTGAGGAAACCGTCGATATCTTCCGATTTCAACACAATAAATGTGTCATCCACATATCACTACCATATTTTTGGTGTAGGACTAAACACTTGTCACGCCATATCTTCCCAACTATCCATAAATATATCTACTACGATTGGGGATATTGTGGATCCCATTGCTACTCCTTCTGTTCGTGTATATCATTCATAATTCATATCAGAGTTGAAATTAAACTTTTGGCAGCGAAACGATTCGAACCCATAAGCACCTTCTTTTCAGCACATTGTTCTATCAACTCAGCGTTGTACCATCATCTAGTATCAACAAAAGTCTGCCAAACCACGGCTATCTCAAATGGACAAACGGTCACTAAAATTAGTATAATTAAGAGGCCATTTTGATGTCTTTAGCATAAACTTTTAGGGATGAAGCGGTCAGGTTACTTAAATTTATAATTATAGAGTCCATGTATACTTGGAAGTAAATATGAATAAACTGAACATAGTGAAGTCGACATAGTTGTGTTTTGTGTTTAGTGAACCAACATACTCCTTTCTTTTAACAGGCCTATAGGTTTCAATAAATGATATTTTAAACAAAATATACAACGGTTTGTTTCTTACACCTAATTTAGCAAATTCACAGGTAATTTTTTTGAATTTTTCCCTGATTTCGGCTAAAAGAGGAATCTAGGATTCACGTTTCTTCCTATTTGGGACTCGTTTGATGGTTTCCTGTCAGAACAACAAATATTTTGGCAACGTTGAGGTGTCCGCAAAGCCGCCTATAAGCCACAAGAGGTTGATCCATTCGACTCAGTAAAACAGCGGAGAATTACAAATATCATCAAACCATAGATTTGTTGAAATTTATTAGAGAAAGACCATTTATGATAGGATTCCAAATGTTAATTTACGTCTTCTCTATTGCAACTTGAATGTTTTCAAATTTAAATGAACCTTTTTATTCATTTGTACAACATTAGTCCAGAATTGTTACACTCTCTACTCAGCAATTAAAAGCATAAAGACCTATTTCATTTTCGATTACTCTGTGATAAGCAATTTAACATACGAAAACGGTTTTACTTCTTTTCTTGGTTGTTCTTGATAGGTTTGATTAACAGTTTGATCTGGTGACTGAACTGTTAGAGCATCTGACTGTAAGTGCATAAATGTTCATTTTCATTTCTGCTATACTGATAAGTCTGCCAAAGTGATCATTAATAAAGTGATTATCAAAAACTATTACTAGTTTTGTTGTGTGTAGTGCTAATGCAGTGCAGAATCATTAGAAAATGACGGCTTTCTTTAAATCTAGATTAAGATGGAGGAATCTTTGTGTTCAGATGATTTCTATTATCGAAATAGTTAGTCTTTCTTGTAAATTTGATATAGCAGCAAAAAGATGTAATTTATCCGAATTGTGTAGGATGCATTAGCGCAGTACATTTAGAGCAATTTGGTAACACGCTCACTTATCATGCGCATTTATATGAATTAAAATAATCGATACATGGGTTTAAAAAGCAATCGATGCAATAAAGCTGTCGAGCTGCTAGTTTGCGCGTCAAATCACAAATGGAAAGAGAACAGAAGTCTATTAATCAACCTTGATATTAAAGCTGTGATACCAATCAAAGTTTACTCTGATTAAAAGTTATTCTTGATTGCACAAAACAGGTATAAACTCTATTGTAGTTTGAGCCTCAGCCGGATCAGTCAGTTTGATTAGTTGTTGCAGCCATTTCAATATGTGCTTCTTGGCAATTTCTTGCATAGATCGACGGTCCCTCTCAGTTCATGTGTGACCACATGTGCATGTGAACTGATGCACGTAACTGGAATTGACCTCATCGTTTGAATGCTGTGGGTGTTTACAAGAGCATATTAATTTCGGTTCTTCTATAACTTCGACCTCCACTACATAGTTTGTTCTCAAGACAGCTTTGTTAAGTTTTTATTTCCTAGTCAGGCGTTGTGAATTCATCATTCAAGGTAGCATGAAGTACACAAGTTTTTCAGAAAATGAATGAATGAAATGCAGTGAGCAAATCACCACACACTTTTCAGATAAACTGAGTCTTCCTATCGCCTTATAGGGATTTTGAATAATATTTTAAGAAGGGATTCCCAAAATCTAATGTTTATTAGCTGACAGAAGACTGTATGAAGGTTGATGCATTTGAATGAAATCTAGGCAACCAGTACCGTTGTTGTCACCATTCTGATCCGTATTCTTTAGAGGTATGTGTCAACGATTTTTGTTTCTGCTACGCATCCAAACAAATTTTCTACTGTAAGGATAATGGAATTCTACGAAGTTTATTTTCCGAATTTTTCAGTGAAGAGTCAACATTCGGATTATACGAATAGCAGATTTTATGAGTGGTTAGCAAAGCTTTTAGAAATTTGCAGTGAATGTATATTTTTGTGTCTGCATTTATGACTGCATTCAAGACTTTACTTGAAATGATGTGTTCTAACTCATATAAAACTTACTGAATAGGTACAAAAGCCAGACAGTAAGGTACTTATCAATACCCAGTAGACATTCAAAGAACTAAAGCTAGTTCCATAGAACGTTTGTCGTATGCCAAACAACTCCGTAACAACATTGTTGATGAAAGCATTAGATGAAGTGACTAAAAGCCTCCAAGAATGTACCAGCTTACATAAATAAGTGGGAACCAATTTGTAAAAACTGCTTACACACATGAAGTCTAGTTCGATGTTCTTCCGCCAGTTATCTCTGTTATTAGGTCTATCTTGACAGAGTGTCTGCAACTAAGGTGCGTTTACTCAGAATATTATTTTAAATGAGTAGACTTCAAACACAAGAGCAGTATGCTCCAGTTAGTTGTAGATGTTAGCTTTTCAGAATCGAGAGCAGGCAACCTCCTAACCTTACTTCCATGCTTGTTGACACTCAATAACATCGAAGAGACTGGTCTTCCTTCAGTGAATTTCATCTACACTATACAACGCCGCTAAAGGAACAAGATAATTTTGAAATGTTAAGATTTGACCAACAACACCGAAAAAAGCTTGACAAATTACAACCACAGAATAGTTTTCAAGCTTAACAATATTTGTTATGGAGATTGTGAATGCTTCTCTTTACTGTTCGACAACAATGGGGACTACTCAACATTTTAGCCGAAGCACTTTTTCATAAGAGACGTCCGTCCTACTTGGATGGAGGCAGTTGGCAGGAAGACCTGCTCGATATAGTTTTCATGACTTTTGGCACTCGTTAGCAAGGCATATCTTCAGTTTTGAGGGAACTGACGTCCCGCCCGAAATTCGAATCTAAGTCGCCCAGTGCTGCAGTCAGAGATGCTACCACTGAGCTATTCAGCCCACGAATGACCTCCTGTAAGACCGCAATACGTACAAAAAGTACTGAACTTAGGTCTAGGATTTCCTATCGATTGCATCCATCCAACTAACATCTCTCTGAGTGCATCGTGGCTGTGAGTCATCTAGGCTAGTGCCCACGCTGCAAAGTGACCGATAAAATGCGATAAGCACTTAGAACTAGAAAATATGCAGTTGGTTCCCCTTCAGTGACTAATCAA